AAATTACTCAGAAGCTGTTTACAGCCCTAGATGGCTTGCCGGAAGGACGCACGACAAAGAAAGAGGACTCATAAGCAATGGGCTTAGGTTTTAAAGCAAAAACAAGGTTTCTAAGCGAAAGCGAGGGTCCTCAGAACAAAAGAGCTCTGATACCAACTTGAATATAAAATAATATGTTGTGTATTGATCTAATTTAGAGGGTTACAATATAGAGACTCTAATGGGCTTAAGTGAAAGGCCCAAACCTAATACAAACCTAATACAATCAGAATTAATTACAGACTAATCATATCTAATCATAATAATTACAGACTAATCATATCTAATCATATTTAATATATTCTAACACTTATGAATCACTTCTCCCTGACTATGCTAAAATTCACCCAGTCTTCCATGTATCACAACTCAAACGGGCTTTGAATCCTGCTGTTCAGGTTTTGCCTTTCTCGCAATGTTTATCTGACTCATTGGAAATGCTCAGCAGTGGACGGCCGCAGATTGGTAGGGGGGCAGACTGAAATCCTGGTGCATTGGGCTGGATTACTAGATTGTGAGCGCTCTTGGGAAGATTTGGTTGTGTTCCAAGATCAATTTCCTCAATTTCACCTTGAGGGCAAGGTGAATGTTAAGGAGGGGGTATTGGTGAGATGCTGAAAAATGTTTATAGTAGAAGGAAGAGGAGAAATGAACAGAAGGCAACAGAAGAACAAAATGCAGATGCAGAGGCAAAGCGAAATGAAGAATATAATGCAGATGCAGAGACAAATGTTGGGCCATGGCTGGTGAGTCCAATAGGAGATGATCCTCAATGGTGGAGACAATTGGCCCTTTAACAGGAGTGGATACTGAGGAGCAATTACCCAACACTGAAGGAGCTGATAATGAAGAGCACTTATCCAAGTTGGTTATAACGAATTGAGGGGTCTGTGGTGAGGAGTTTGTTAGAGGAGAGAGAGTATGTAAGGAGAATATATGTTAGGTTATTGTAGGAGTGTGAGGGTATGGAAAAACTTGTGTAATTCAATGGTGAATTGTGGGAAAGGGTACCGTGGAGTCCCTTGGGTATCTTTATTTTCGGTTTGCATTTCTTATCCTTCAAGGGCTGTATCAGCCATTTTTACTGCTTTGCTGTTGAAACTGTCATATTGAATGTCTCTTTAATTGAATCTGAATTTTCTTTCAATTCCAAATTGTGGTTTCATCAAAAAATAAGTGGGGTTCATGCTCAAGAGAGATGGTAACAAGCTAGTGAAATATAAAGCTCACTTCATCACAAATGGTTTTGGAGAAAAACGAACAATAAATTTTGATGAGATTTTGTCTTGGGCTGTCAAAATGAACCCTATTACAGTCATACTGGGTTTCATAGCTAGCTTGGACTTGGAGTTTGAGCAACTAGATGTGAAAACTCCATTTCTTCATGGTGATTTGGAGGAAAAGATCTACATGGTTCAACCTGAAGGGATCAAGGAAAAGGGAATGAACACATGGTTTGTAGGATTAAAAAGAGCTTTTATGGATTAAAGCAAGCTCCTAGGAAGTGGTATAAGGAATTTCACTCCTCCATGATAACCCATGGGCATACCAGAACTGATACAGATCATTGTGTCCACTCTAAAATGTTCCTAATAGATTTATTGTCCTTCTATTATACGTAACAGATTGTGGGGCAAGACATAGAGATGATTGGCGATCTGAAAAAGTTGTCAAAGTTATTTGACATGAAAGATCTAGGAACTGAGGCAAATTTTGGGAATGCACATTTTGACATGTGCATAATATTGAACTCTGTGTTTGTCTCAGTTTGGAGTTTTTCATTCATTCTAGTTCTAGTTTGTTTTAATTTTATATAGGCTAGTAATGGGATGAGGAACTTAATGACATCTTAGTTTTTCTTGAAACCGTCTTATTTGAGATTAAGGATTTTCTTTTGAGGCACTTAAAGATGAAAAATATTTTTTGCCTTAGGTGTTATTAAGGATATTATAGTCTTTTTATATTGAGGATATTCTTTTCTATTTGTGTTACAATTTTACTACTTGTTGTTTTTTACCTAAGTTAATAGTTTTTAGAATAGGTGAGGTGTACTAATTCTAGAATTTACCTTGTTGCTTTATTGTTGAGCTGTCATGTGTAGCTCCACTATTTATCTTATTGTACTGTTCATCTTTTGAATCATTAGAGAATATGCAGAATATTTTACGTTTTGACTCTCTTCTATTTTCTCTCTTTTCTTTTCTTCTCTTCCTTTTCTTTGATGGTATCAGAACTCTCTCTGATGGCCTAAACAAGAAATCTTCCCTACCTAATGGCTTCCGCTGAATCCAAATCTGGGCTTATTGCTCACCATATGACGGTGAAACTCACCGAAAACAACTTCCTCATCTGGAAGCAGCTGGTAGAACCAGTGATAAAATTACATCAGCTTCAAAGTTATCTCGTTAATCCACAAATACCACACCGGTATCTTTCAGAAGAGGATCGTGTTGCAGATCAGGTCAGCCCAGCTTAGATTGAGTGGGAAACCCAGGATCAAACCCTTCTTTCATGGTTGATGACCACTTTGTCAGAACCGATAATGAACAAAGTCCTTGGTCTTGTTCACTTTGGCAAGTGTGGAAGAAAATACACAAATATTTTCATGGGCTTATGAAATCAAAGGCACGCCAACTGCTAGTTGAGTTACGAAGTATCAAAAAGGGAGGAAGAACCATTTCTGAATACCTTGCTCGAGTAAAATCTCTCATTGATGGACTCATGGCTATTGGGTGTCCAATTTCTGACGAAGAGCAAGTGGAGCTCATTCTTGAAGGACTTCCACAGTAGTATGACTCATTCATTACTGCAATACATGCACGTGATGTTCCTTTCTTGGTTGATGACCTTGAGATTGAACTCCTTGCTCAAGATCCAGGTTCATTAAACATCAAGGATCTCTAATTCATGATTCAAAGTCTGTTAATACAACCCATCAATCTAATGCATCTCCTTCTTCAAAGCCCACCAACATTAGTACATCCTAATCTCTGTTTACCCCAGATTTTTAGCTTCCTGTACAGAGCAAACAATAACAACTCTTTGGAGGCTTGTTTGATTCTGGAAGAGGCCGTGGTCGTTTCAATAGAAGAGGAAATAAAGGCAAGGGAAGAGGAAGAAGTAATCTGTAGTGTCAACTCTGTTATAAATTTGACCATGAGGTACAATCATGTTGTGTAAAGAACCAATTCAACCCAAAAGCTTAAGCTGTTGGGTGAGGCTACATTAATGGTTTTATATATCTCAACACGCCCCCTCATACAAGAGTCCACTGGGCTTGAAGGGTGGACAATGCACAGGCCCACCTACCTGTGCGAACAAAGAAATTCCACTTGAAAGAAAGTGGGGGGCGGCGAGGATCGAACCCGGGACACGAGGCTCTGATACCATGTAAAGAACTAATTCAACCCAAAAGCTTAAGTTGTTGGGTGAGGCTACATTAATGGTTTTATATATCTCAACATGTTGGCACCAATTTGACCCTAGTTTTGTTCCCACTCAGCCACCTCCTCCTAATCCTCAGTTCTTCCTCCACAAATGCCTTTAACTTCACCATAGCAAAATACCCAGCCTCATCAATGCCCATTTTTCATTGCAACTCCCAAACAGAGCAGAATGTTAATCAACTCCAGAATTCCTTTTCCCTCAACAATCACCAGCCACAATATCAACCACATCAAAGTCAGCCTCAAGCATTGCTAACAACACTATCCTTTCCGCCTAATAACCAAAGATTACTTCCTACTCCTACTACATCACAAAATCTAGAGTGGTTTCCTTATTCTGGTGCGTCCCATCATGTGACACAAGACATACAAACCTTCCTTTAAAGCCCTTAATTAACTGGAGCAGAACAAGTCATGTTAGAGAATGGCCAAGGTTTGGCAGTAACAACTATAGGCTCCAAGACAATTTTTAAAGCCTCATGATGAAGATGACGTAATCTATCATGCTAGAGAGCGTATGTGAAAGAAGTGTCAACATTTTGAATAGCAGTAGATGGTTCAGCAAAAGAAAGAGAGGTATCACTTGAAGATAAAGTAGTTACTGGAAAGGTAGTAGTGAGACAAGAAGAAGCACAAGAAGAATATTGTTGAGGAGAGATGTCCGTGAACCAATACAAGCCATCACTGCCAAGAACACCTTCAAGAAGAATTTGATGAGAATCCTGTGAATTTACAAAACAATAGTGAGGATGAAATTCAAAATAGACAGAATTATCCTACTAACACTAACCAGATTCTTTGTAATGGAAGGAACAAATATAAGATTATTAAGGAAAAGGGTAGTGTGTGCTTGAGATGGTGAAGAAAACTGTAAAGATCTTACAGCTGTTATTGCCAAACCCTGACCATTCCCTAACATTACTTGTTCTGCTCTAGTTAATTGAGTGATCTGAAGGAAGGTTTGTGGGTCTGGTGTCACAGCTTGTGATCAGATTGCAGATACATTTACAAAAGCCCTGTCTGCAGCACGCTTCACTGATCTTAGAACCAAACTCATGGTTCTGGATTCAACACTGTTTTCATCACACCCATGAGTTTGAGGAGGTGCATTTAGGATATTATAGTTTTTTGTATTGAGGATATTCTTTTCTATTCTTGTTATAATTTTATTGCTTGTTTGTTACCTCAGTTAATATTTTCTAGAATAGGTGAGGTGTACTAATTCTAGAATTTACCTTTGTTGCTTTATTGTTGAGCTGTCATGTGCAGCTCCACTATTTATCTTATTGTACGGTTCATGTTTTGAATAAATCAGAGAATATACAGAATGTTTTACGTTTTGACTTTTTTCTATTTTTTCTCTTTTCTTCTTTTCTCTTCCTTTTCTTTGAGGTGTTATTGCTTGTGCTTAAATGTTTACATATTTAAATCAGATATAGATATTTATATCAATGATTTTATTTGCACCTTGGCAATGTTGATTGTCTGAACATTTATTTGTTGTTTGTTTTATAGATATCAAAGAAAAGCAGCAAAACTAACCCAAGATTTCACAGCTTGTGCCAATGACGTATACACATCATTCTGGTAGACATTGTTTCTAAAATAGTAACCAGAATCTTATTTTGATTATTTCCTTACCTATTGCAGGTAGCCCAGGAAACAATTTCTTCAATAAGAATTGTTCGAGCTTATGGAGCAGGAAAAAAAGAATTTGGAAGGTGCTTTGTTTTGTTTTTTCCCCTTTAATTGTTCTTGTTGAAAATCTATATTTTGACTTGATGATTTCTATCACAAACCACTTCTTTAAAAAACTTAAGCATGAATGCACAGACTCACTTAACTTGTGTTGAAATTTAACTTTCCATTAGAAGAATGGGAGAGGCAAGGGTCAAACTTTAGATCATTTCTTCAAAATGGCCTTGGTATCATGCATGAATTAACTCTCCCAAAAGCTCAAACTGTTAGGTGAAATTGCATGAATGATTTTATATTACTTCTTTAATAGTTACTTTTGAAACATAGTAAAATATCTCCTCATCAACATCCTGAAGCTTCAAGCTATATTAGACAGGAGCCTAATCATATATGCCAAGTTCAAGACCCTTACAACCATACACTCTTGCTTTTATTTCTCCTGAACCAGAGAATCAAACAAAGTACAACTCACAGAACTGTATTGATGCCATATTGATTTAATGACTATAGCTATAAAGAATTTAACTAAAGAATAGTTATTGACTTTTTTAGATTAACACATTACATTAGTGTCAAATTACTAACTGGGAGCTATTTTGAAAGCTTTAGCTGCTAGGAAATGAACCCATATCTTCATTCTGAGTGTGATACTAACATGTATAAATTGAGAATAATAAATAAGAGTAACCAAGAAAGAGACATTTGAAGGCTTTGGATCTTAATTTATCTTTTTTCGGAGTGAAGTAATGAACAAAGCAAGTACACCAAAAACATGTGAAGGCAGTGGATAGGGAGGTGTACCTCGAAATAAAACATTGTGTGGGACTTCATTGTTAAGCACGAAAGAGGGCATGCGATTGATGAGAAAACAGGAGGTGATAATAACATCTGCCCAAAAACGGAGTGGAACATTCATATGAAGGAGAAGAGCATGTGCGGTTTCAACAAGATGTTTATTTTTATGTTCGGCTTCTCCATTTTGTTGTGCAGTGTAAGGGCATGTAGTCTGGTGTAATGTCCTGTTGTAAATATTAGTGATTTAGCTGATTATTATTATTATTTGTTGTATTGGGCCAAGCCCATTAGGTCAAGGATTAGGTCTTTTATTCTTTATAAATAGAGACTCTCTGTACAGATAATATACACAAATTAATAATATATTTCTGATTACCCTTTCCAAGTTGGTATCAGAGCTCTCGATCTTGAGGACTCTGCTTCCGCGCCTACGAAACCTTGTTCGTCTCTCGCTGCCATCAGCCGCCACCGGAAAAATTTTCCAGGGACCTCTTGGACCGAGAACATCTCTGTTTTTTTTTTTTTTTCTTCTTTACACAACAGAAGATCATTGTTCCAACTCAGAACCTGTTTCACGCATCACGTTCCAACCTGTTTCACGTTTCACGTCAAACTCAGAACCTGTTTCTCACGATTTGGACATTTTTCCGGTCGATTTTTTGCTCCGACCAGCCACAGACCCAGCCGCACTAAAAAGCCCAAGGTCACCGGACGTCAGACGCGCCTCCCTTCTCCCTGCGCGTGAAACCCACGCGCCGCCAGCTTCTCCGGCGCGTGGAGGAGGTTCTGGTGGTCGGACCACTGCAGTCTTGATCGTCTCTCCAAGGCGGTTCTGGATCTGTGCTTTCCTCTTTGATTGGACGTCGTTTGGTAATTTTTCGGTGTTTTTGGCTTCTTGTTACTATTCTGAGTATTTTTTTTGCAGTATGGCCGCTTCCGACACTGAGTCAACTCTAAACACATCTGAAAAAAATTCTACCCCATCTGTGGTGACCCTTCTTGGTCACAATGATCTTCCAAGTCTACATTAGAGTTATCGATTTGACGGATCAAATTATTTGTCTTGGTCTCAGCTCATTCGTATCGGACGTCGTTTGGTAATTTTTCGTGATTTTTGGCTTCTTGGTACTATTCTTTGAGTATTTTTTTTTGCAGTATGGCCGCTTCCGACACCGAGTCAACTCTAAACACATCTGAAAAAATTTCTACCCCATCTGTGGTGACCCCTCTTGGTCACAATGATCTTCCAAATCTACATCAGAGTTATCGATTTGACGGATCAAATTATTTGTCTTGGTCTCAGCTCATTCGTACTACCATCAAGAGTCGCAATAAGATTGCTCATCTTGATGGCCCTGCTCCTGCTGCCACGGATCCTGTTTTTGCTGTCTGGGATAATGAGGATTCTCTTATCATGACTTGGTTGTGGAATTCGATGACTCCTGAAGTGGTTCGTCACTGCATGTTCCTGTCTTCTGCTATGGAGATTTGGGAAACTGTCCGCTCCACTTATTCCTTGAAACAGGATATGGCTGCGCGCTATGAATTGCGTAATAAAATATTCACTACAAAACAAGATTCTTTATCCGTGACTGAGTACTATGGCACCTTGAAGGAGTTATGGACTGAACTTGATCAATTTCAGAGTTTGAAGATGAAATGTACTGCAGATGCTACTGCTTTAGCCAAGGAGGTGGAAAATGAGCGTATTTTTGATTTTCTTGCTGGTTTGAATTCCGAGTATGATCCTATTTGGGTTCAGATACTTGGCAAAGAAACTTTTCCATCCCTTTCTGTTGTTTTCAATACTGTTCGGGGAGAGGAGAATCGTCGGGGTGTTATGATGAACCCTGATAAATCTGCCATGTTATCATCAAATGATGGTGCTGCTTCTAAACCCACTGATGGGTCTGCTATGATTTCAACAAAAAAGGATGGTTCTACTTACAGGAGTTCCTTTCCAAAATATTCTGATGGAGCATCTTCTAGACCTAAGAAAGATGATCGCTGGTGTTCTTATTGTAAAAGAACAGGTCATATCAAGGATCTATGTTATCGCCTCCATGGAAAACAAACTGTCTTAGAAAAGATGGCAAGGATGGGTGGTCAAGCGCATTTTACTTCTTCTGATATAGCTCTTGCACCTAATGAGACCCAACCTGCATTTCGTCCAGATGAGTTGGAACGACTTCGGACCATACTTGATTCTCTGAATAAGCCATCTGGTACTAGTGATTTGGCTATGACTGGTATGAGCTCCAAAATTTCTTCTTTTCTTACTTCATGTATTGATTTTAAACATTCTTGGGTTGTTGATTCTGGTGCTACTGATCATATGGCTTGTTGTGCTGACCCCTTTGTTTCTTATAACCCTACCATTGGCACTCATAGGATAGCCGTAGCTGATGGCTCACATACATCAGTTGCGGGTTCTGGTAACATAAAATTACAGCCTTCCTTACATCTCAAAGATGCTCTTCATGTCCCTAAACTTTTTACTAATCTTCTTTCTATTCATAAAATCACAAAAGATTTAAATTGCACTGTAACCTTCTTTCCTACTCACTGTGTTTTTCAGGATCTCGCCACGGGGAAGACGATTGGGGGTGCTAAAGAGCAAGGTGGGTTGTACTATCTGGTGTCACACTCCTGCAACTCATGTTAAGGATCACATCTTGCTGTCACATGGCCAGTCAACTGCTGATTCTCTGATTTGGCTTCATCATAAGCGCTTGGGACATCCTCCATTTAGTTTACTCAAGTCTTTATTTCCGTCTTTGTTTTTGTCTAAGTCTGTTGAGTCTTTTCATTGTGATGTTTGTGAGTTTGCTAAGCATCATCGTGTGTCTTTCCCTTCTAGGAGTACTAAAAGTGTTGAACCTTTTGATCTTATTTATTCTGATGTTTGGGGTCCTTCTAAGGTCCCTCATTCTTCTGGAAATAAATGGTTTGTTTCTTTTATTGATGATTGCACTCGTGTAACTTGGGTTTACTTAATGCATGAAAAGTCTGAGGTACCACAATTGTTCTTTCAATTTTATAAAATGATTGAGACTCAATTTTGTAAAAAAATCAAAAGACTAAGGACAGATAATGGTACTGAATATGTCAATCACTCTTTTTCCCAATTTATACAAAATCAAGGTATGATTCATGAACTTACTTGTGTAGACACCCCTCAACAAAATGGGGTTGCTGAAAGGAAAAATCGTCACCTTCTTGAAGTTGCTCGTGCCTTACTGTTTCAAACACATGTACCCAAATGCTATTGGGGAGATGCCATTCTTACTGCAGCGTTCTTGATCAATCGTCTACCCACTCGGGTTCTCGATCATGTAGTCCTATTTACTCCATGACTTCTTTTTTTCCTTATGTTCCAACTTTGCAAAGTCTTCCTCCTCGAGTGTTTGGGTGTGTTGTCTTTGTTCATATTCATAAACAGCATCGCAGTAAGTTGGATCCTAGGGCTCTTAAATGTGTCTTCCTTGGATATGCTCCTGATAAGAAGGGCTACAAGTGCTATCACCCTGGAAGTCGGAAATTTTTTGTTTCTATGGATGTTACACTTCAGGAATCTGAGTCCTTTTTCCAAGGTCCTCATCTTCAGGGGGAGAATAATTCACCAGAAGACTCATCACCTTCCTTCTTTGAATTAGAATCTTCAGTGTCTACTCCTTCACCTGTGTCAGTGTCTCTTCCTCTTGTTCCTGTTCCTAATGTGTCTATGTCTGATCCTCCTGTGACTGATCCTCCTATAACTGATACATCAAGTACACCAGAGATACAGAAGATTGTGACACATGAATTGGTATATCAAAGAAGGAAACAACCCACATTGCCTCAACAACAACCTCAATCGTCTGAACCACTGGTAAGTCCTGAATCTCATATTTCTAATCATGATGTTAATACTTCTGATGACTTACCCGTTACTACTGCTTCTGATGATTTACCCATTGCTTTAAGAAAAGGAAAAAGATCTTGTTCCAAGAAATCTTGTTCTTCCTGTCCCTCTTGTACTCAATACCCTATCTCCCATTTTGTTTCCTCTGCTAATCTTTCTGTGCAGCACAAAAGCTTTGTTTCAGCACTAGATTCTACTTCAATCCCAAAATTAGTACATGAAGCTTTGAAAGATGGGAATAAGGCTCAAGCCATGCAAGAGGAGATGAATGCGTTGGTGAAAAATAAAACATGGGAGGTTATTGATAGACCCAACGGAAAGAAA